GGATTTTACTTATAAAATCAGAAAGAAATGTTTTATATTATTGCCGACTTTTTTACATGACAAATGACAACTAGCAAACAAAATATTATGATTTAATGATGTATTATTGTTTCATGAATGCCTTTTTAGAAAACCTTTATATACACCAGTTGTATCTAGTGCTTGGATTTCTATCTTTTCTCTACCTGCGTGGTTTTAAATGGTTGGCTTGGTTTAGGGGTGGTTATATCCCAAAACAAGAATTATTAATTTAATGATGTATCAATTTATCAATTTATCATTCAATTTAGATCTATGTATTTTTATCTTGTAAATTGTTATTTGCTTTTTTACCCTGAAATCGAACCAGGATTTTAAGTAGTACAAGCCCGACCAGTTAAAAGAACACACACCATCATGTAGTGTTGCTAAGAAATCCCACTAAGCCTCTCGCAATTGGCTTACTTTAAGCGAGTTTGTTTTACCTATGTGATCGTGGATCATAAACATTAATAAATCATTGGAATCATAGTGCTCATTAAACAACCAGATAGTAGAGAAGAGAGAGAAAGAGTTAGATGGATGGTTATAGATAGATTGGATACAACAGCTACCACCCCCAGCCCCACCTTCAAACATATTTACATCACATCTACATCTTCCTCCTATCTCTTTTCTTCCTCCCAATTTTACCCAACAAACCAATATAATATCTTTTTGCTTTACCGGCAAAGTTTATATTCTTATTTCTAATTTCTAAAATTTTCTTGTTGTCAATGTAGTAAGTTAAGATCTTAAATAAATCTAATATGGAAATGACATAATTTAGAAGTAAAAATGTATTTTTCATTGCCCATACCCTTTTTTGCTATTAAAAAAAACATCTAATTGTAATGACATTTACTACTACTTTCGAATTTAGAAGCATTTATTTAGAATATGTTGACTTTAAATCTGAAATATCTTAATTATCTGCACATTTAAATTATTTTCTCCCCAGTTGCCTGCTTTCACTCAAGCAGAACGGACCTACTATGCAGTCCCAGAATTGCAGCTGGGGAAGCGCTGAGTTTAGTTACACATCTTATCCTGCAGGGGAAGCAAGAATTGTAAAAATGTAAACATAAAGAACATGTTCACAACTTGAATAGAAGCCTAGAAAGAAGTGCGAGAAGCACCATGAATTTCTAGTCCAGAATACTTTATTAGATAGAATTATCTTTACAATTTGTTGGTAATTGGATATCCATATTGGTCTTTGATTGCTTTTAAGAGGATAGCAAAGGGGGTATTTACTGAGGGGACAGATTAGAAGATTTTATGTGAAAAGTATTTCAACCTAGACTTATGCTATAGACGTAAATAGCCCCAAAATCAAAATTTGGGTTATATGTCATTTTTTCCGTGCGTCTGTGCGCCTTCCAAAATTAAATAAAACAAGTTCAATTTCAGTCACATCTTTCATCTTTGTTAAAAAGTTTGATTTCAATTGAAAAATATCATTTTATTTAGCAAAAA